AAAACAGAAAGCAGCCCAAAGCTAAATGATACAACACAGAGCTAAAATCTGGGAGGACATATCCGTAGATCGCCTAGAGACCACACTAGCAATGCTAGAACAACAATACTACAAACACTAACCGAAAAAATATTACAAAGCTCCAAAAATGGAGACTTACCGATCCCAAAGGATAATACCCGCTCACACTCGGACACACAGAGGTCAACGACCCAAACCAAAAACACGACTCCTAAACAAACAACTAAACAAACCTAACCAACAAAGAAAACAAACAACACCAAGACAGACGAAAACTAACAAAAACTAAACAGCAACAAAAGCCCTTCCCACAGTAGAATAACCGAGCCCAGCACAATGCACCAGCAGAAAAGGCCGCCCACCCCCAAGGCTTGATCTTAAGTCTAGGACACCGCTCCCGAAACTGCCTAAATGCCTAGCTGAAGCCGAATCTCAGGACCTCGAACCACTCCCAGGATGGAGTCGACCCAAAGCCGAAAAAGCAATGGTCAGACACCGCCACACACACCCCCACCCCAAACCCGACCATCACCACTGGCCTAGGTCCAGAAGTGCCGGTCTTCCCCAACCTTCACACCAAAGGAGCAGAGAAACAAGGGGATCGAAACCACGCCCCTGAGCCCCGGCCGGCTCGCCTTCGACAACCGCGAGTAGCCAGGGCCACGCTCAAACCCCAATCACACGCCACCACCCAGCGCCGCTACACAACCAGGGAGGCCGACCAACACTTCCACGACCGGCAACCGAAACACGTCGAGATCCGGCCGACGAGCATCCATCTCCCTCCACTGGCACAAACAGTACAAAAATAACATAAAATCGGGACAAGGGTATGCGGCTAAGGGCCATGCGCCGGCTAGAGGGCCGGCGAAACGCTGGGGAAGGTGAGGAGACACAAATCGACGACTTGGCGAAGGAAGATTAGGGCACGGCGAAAGAGACTTTTCTTTCTTCAGAGGCATTTTTTTTCCGAACGTGGGATATGGTGTGCGATTTTGTATATATATTTTATATTTTAAGTCTCAACAAGTGTTAAAAAGTCATACCAAATCTAATTAAGAAATAAATTGAATAACTCATGAGTTTTTAAGGCTATTTTAATCTCAAATTAATACCTCTAAACCTTTTAATATATTTTATAATTTTAAATGAATATCTCAAAACTTTTAAAGTTTTAAAAATTCCAAGTTTAANAAAAAAAAAAAAATCTAAGACGTTTTAAGATTTCCAGATTTTAAAGGACTCATTAGAAATTTATGTCTAGACGTGGAATTTGATGTGAGATTTCATACATAGTTTCTTTCTTTTTTTAATCTTAATAAGGCTTACAAAGTCTAAGAAATCGAAATAATAAATAAATTTAATACATCATAGCTTGTTAAGTCTTTTTGAAATTTCTAATGAATACCTATGACTTTTAAAAGTTTTAAGAAGTTCAAGTTAAATATACCGAAACTCTTTGGTGATGATTGGTTAAAAAAAATATTGATCTTGATTGGATTCATTGGATAATGTGAGTTAATTTTAAAAAAAGTTGATTGAGTGGAAGTTTGAGTTTTTATTAATAATATTTAAAATGTAATGATTAAAGTTTATATGATGTAAAAGTAGGGGAGATATTATTGAAAGTAATAGTTAGTTAAAATTATGTGAGTGGATGAATAATGAATTAAAGTGATGTGATGCGTGAGAATGATTGATTGATATTATTTAATTATATTAATAATATTGAGAAAAGTTAATTGAATTAAATTTAAGTTGGATTTTGAGTTTAAAAATTATAAAAAAAATTATCCTGCTAGAAATAACTATTATTTTATGACCTCACAACCTTAAAATCCCAAAAATTCCAAGAACCCCGAATGAATACACCCATAAGTCTAAAGGTGAGATTTGATAGTGGAATATGACACATGCAATTTATGTTTGAAATCTCAATGAATCTTAGAAAACCCTACCAAATTTTAATGTTAAATAAGTTAAATACCTCACAACTTTTTAAAATTTTTATAAATTTTAAAAATCTAAGGGTTGTGATTGAATATAAATTTGTTATTAGATATTTTGGTTATGATTGTTTTGTTTTCTTGGTTACGCATAGTTAATTTTGGAAAAGTTGGTTGTGTTATGTTTGAAATAGATTTTTAGTTTGTATTAAGATAATATTTTTAAAAAATATTAAATTTTGATTTGATGTAAAAGTAGGAGAAGAGCGATTGGAAGTGAGGGTAATTAAAATTATGTGAGTGGATTAATAATGAATTAAATTGATGAGATGTGTAAGGATGGTTGACTGATACTATTTAATTATATTAATAATTATTGGAGTTAGAGTTAAGTTTGAGTTAAATTTTGAGTTAAAAAAATGAATGGTGAAAAATGATTAATTTTTTATATCCAATCACCCCCTAAGTTAAATACAACAATATTTTTAAAATCTTAAAGTGTTAGATATTCTAAACTAATACACCATTAAAAATCATAAAACGTTATTTAAAATCCCACGTGAATACACTGTGTGAGATTTGGTGGTGAAATTTATTACTTGTATTTTATTATTAAAATCTCAATAAAAAAGTCTAAATAAATTTGAGTGATAAATAAATTGCATTGAATACATATAAATTTTTTTTAATTCAAATAAATACCTTAAATTTTCTAAATATAAAATTTTAAAAAATTTAAATTATATATAACATATTCTAATAATCTCAAAATAATTCTGAATAAATACACCCCTTATGTAAAAAAGAATGCGTAAATGTTTTAATTTATATATGATTGTTTCTATTTTAGAAAAATATTAAGTCAGTTAAAATTAAAAAATGGGTGAGGAGTGAGGACGAAGTGAATGGACACGTGCACTGGATCGCAGGTAATCCCAACCCGGATGTGTTTGCGGGAAATTAACCGGAATTGATAAACCGATGATACGTCCGGTATATTGGTAGCTTTTCCGGCTGCTTCCTGGTGTGAAAAAAAGATCCAATTTCCTGCTATTCTTTGTATGTGAGAGAGGGACAGAGGAGCGAGCGGCGGCGGAGTAGCGAATACGCCGTTTTGGTCGCCTCCTTGAATCTCTTAGTGCGTGCACTCGTCAATTTTCACTCTATCTTCCTTTTTTTCTAATTAGTTTATCGGTTATGGTTGTTTTGTTTCTGTAAGCACTTCATCCATTTGTCTTTAATTTAACTTGCCCGGTGATTTTTGTTTATGTACGGTTTTTTTTTCCCTCATTTTTATTTATTTATTTATTTTGCTATCTGATTATGCTTATTGATTGATAATTTGGTGATTTGGGCTTAAATGTCAATTCTTGCTTATTTGATTGAACCATACGTTGATCAGGCAAGTTGCATGAGAACTGCAGACTCGTAATTCAATTTCGGTCCTTTTCCTGATTCTTTTGAAGTCTTGCTGCAGAAGTGTTACTTGGTAGTTTTAGAGGATGGACCTGGTGGCTAGTTGCAAGGTAATTAACATGGGTCTCAAGATTTTGTATAAATTGTCTGGACTTGTGTTTTCCTTTTCCATTTCTAGGTTACGTTTCTGTTTGACTTTTTCAGTTTACTGTTGTATGGGTAAATGGATGATGTGGTGATAATTTCATTGGTTGATTTTTTGGTTAACATTATATGTTCTGGTATTGAATATGTGTAAGTGAGCCCTTTTCTTTTCTTCTTCCGCCTAAATGAAGCCAAGATGAGAGGTAATAGCAGCTGTTCTGGTTACAGTGAGTCTTGCATGTCATTCTATTGAGACACATAAATCACATTTAATTAATTTTTGTTAAATAATTGCCGAAACTTGGTGAGTATCTAAAATTTTGGATGCATCTGTGAGGTGTTCTGAACAAACATGTTTAACATGGGAACCTCCCAGCTAACTGACCTGACAGCAAATCTTGATGTATGATTCTGACCTGTTACACTTGCATCATTTGTTCCTTGAATGTTAAATTCATCCAGCTTTGTTTACGAAAGTCCTCTGTGTGGCACATATTTATTTGTCACCAGAATCTTTCCATAACGTGGAAGGATAAGGTAATTCTGGAACTCTGGTTGTGGTCAAGAGAAATGGTATACAATATTTTCATTATCCTTTGTCCTCCACAATAGTCTAAAGAAATGGTATACAATAGTTTAATGCATAAAAACTTAACAAGTACAGGCCGGTGCTGTCTACGGCATCAAATGTCAGTGTTATTAAATAGCACCCATGGCGGTTCCGTGGCAGTATGGCATTGCAGATTTAGCTTGGCTGCCACGGTGTGGTGCTGATGATGGAAAATTGCGGTTTCCTCCCAGGTTCAGCACTAAAAAGTAAGAAAAGTAAATTTGCGGGCCCAAATTTTCCAAAATCAGCGCAGATATGTAACAGATCTAGGTCTGCGCACGTGATAAATAAGAAACTCTAATTGCTGTGAGAAAGTGAAAGGAGAATAGCCATCCTGTGCACCCCCTCCCCCTTCTGTCGACATTGTTTCTCTTTTTCTTTCTTTCTTTTTTTTTCTTTTTTTTTTTTTATTTCCTTTTCCT